CTGCCCTTCAATTAACCCCACATGTGGTCATCAGCCAGGTTGGCACAATAAACCTTAACTATCACATTGATTCTGGCAGGTCCCAGTCACTCCCATTTTGCCACATGGTTTAGCTGCACCCAGAGCCAGGTCTCCGTCACCCTCAGGCCTTCCGTCCCTCAGTGCCTGCGACAGGCACAGCCTCAAATTTCACGAGGACTAACACTGAGACCTTGAATTTGCAAGCTGCCTCTCCTTCATGGTGCCATCTTGAGCGGGTCACTTTGCTCTCTACATGTTTCAGTTTCCTTGTCCCCTAAGGGGGGAACAGTTATGTTAACCCCGCAAGGTTGTGGTGAGAATCTGTGAGGCTATGCATGGAAGACCCCTTGATCAATCAGAAAGCATGACGCAGAGACTAATGTAATTTATATTACAGCCCTGCTTCCCACACTAACCCCAAGCCCAAACCACTTGTCCTTGAGTCAGCTCCTGCTCACGGAGGGCCCAGGCCTGTCGGAGAAGGACTGTGCTCCCCACGGTTGTTGATGGATGATTTGTCCAACATGGATCAGCAGGCCTTTCCTTTCAGGCACCTTTAGGTCTGCAGATGGGGAGCAGCCACCAGAATTAACTGTTTGTATTATCCAAGGTTTCTACCAGTGGGTCTAAAAGGCGAGTCTGTAATCAGATTCCCAGCCTCCATCCAGACCTAGTGAGGGGCAGTGAATCCTGAACATTTCTCTTTTTTCTCTAAATGCTCCACAGGTGATTCTAAAAGAGACTAAGTTTGGAAGCCACCACCTTGGAGCTTCCATGATACTTACTGCCATCAAGTCAGGCTTGCCGCATGGCCACCTGATAGGGGATTTCCAAGACTAAATCTTTTCAGCATCCGACAGCCTTCTTTCTCTTTATCCCTGTGAGCTTGGATGGTGGGTTTGAACCAACAGCCTGGCAGTTAGCAGCCCAGTGCCTAGCCCATAACACCATCGTCGTTCCTTAATGGTAGTAGGTCTGGAACTGAGAACATTTATGTGGTTTTCAGGGTCCTTGTGCTGTACCTGGGCAATCTCTACAGTTTGATCATCGCTCTCCTGGACAAAGTGAACAGCATGAGTATTTTGGTAAGTTGCCTGTCCTGAAAGTCCTCCTCCCCCACCCCCACCCCCCACACATACACATACCACACGCACGCACACATGCATGGTTAGTTATCAAAATTTCGTAAAACTCAACTGGGTTATGGTTTTCTTAAGGTAAGGACAGGAAAATGGACCCATTTTCAAGATTTGAAAAACAAACAAAACCTGAGGCTAGTGTCCACGCTGTATGTGACAGTTCTGGCATGAGAACTGGTTCTTTTGACACTAAGTTGGTTGCCTCCATTCAGCTCTGTTTCCCAAGTCCTTCGAATCCCACTAGGAAAGGCTACTCATAGGAGAGAAGTGGATGGCAGGTACTAGTTGGCTGACTCCTGAAGTCTTACTTCAAATAGAGAAAAACCTTACCCCAATGTGCAAGGAATTTGCCCCCTGCTTCAACCCAGGGCGGTCCTAGGCTGTGCTCTCAGGCCCCTGGCTCTTGTGCTGGTGGTTGTTAGCTGTGGCCAAGTTGGCCCCCAACTCAGGGCCACCCCTGGGTTACAGAGCAGAGCTGCTCCCCGGCTGCAACCTTAACAGAAAGAGATTGGCAGACATTTCATTTGCGGAACTGGTGGGTAGATTTGGGCCTGTAAGTTGGCAGCCAGTCACTATTGTGGTCACCCAGGTTCCTTACTGGTCCTTTGTGTTCCTCTCGGCCCCACTTCTGGCCTGGAAGAGAAAAGTGCCTTCCTCGTATCCTTTCCTTGCCCGCAGACTCCCTGGAGAATCGATTCCATTATTCCATGTGGTCTGATAGCAATACGATTACATAGATTGCCCTCATTATTTGTGTGCAAAACCAGAGAAACAGAGGCATCCAGAGACATGCCCCAGATGAGCCAGGGGTAATTCTGGTCATAAAGGCAACACGTGTGATTCTAGTGCCCTTACCTTACCCAAAGACGGCATTGCCTTTTCCCAAAGCACAGTGCAAACCAGAAACTGGGGCTACCAAGGCAGATGCTTCCTTCGGCCAGCACTTACTGAGTGCGTGCCTGGGGCCTTGCCCTGTGCCCTGTCCTGT